ATATATATATATATCTATCTCGTACTGGGAATGATTGATTTTAAATAATTTGGAGATCTTTTTAAATTCTTTATTTGACTCGGACATCTACAGCATTCTTTCTGAAGGCCTTGGAGAGCTCTTTTGACCTTCCTATGATGACAACACACACATCAATAGACAAGGGAGCGCCACGTATCTGAAGCTTGAATAAGACAGGCTTCACCTGCAATTTACCCTGATGGCCCATTCACACCACCTCCAGATCATCTCCAGACCAGTGCAAACGCACTAGATCGCGCCTGTAAGTCCATTTTAAGATTTTAAAAAAAAACCCCAGCTCCGGAACGTGGTAAAACAGCGGGAAAGCGCAATGCACTTCATTCCAGATCTGGTCCGGAAAATGGTGTGAACCTGCCCTAAAGAGCTTCTAATCATTGGCACCTAATCTGGAACACCTTATTCTAATTTCATGAACTTGTGCTTCAAAGACGGGTTGGGGGAAATCTCCCTAGCAGGACACATGCAGCAAAAAAAACCTGATAGGTATTTAACCCTTCCTTACACTATCCAAAACTATTTCAAGAAATGCTTTGGCAATACACACTTTCTACATTCCTGTCTAATTGTCCAACTTCCTTTTTAGAATGAGTAACCAATATGTGATGCAGAGGCCTACATCATCAGTTAGAATTAATTTGTAGGTAGGTCCTTAGACCAGTTTCCATGTCCCCATTTTCTCCACACACAACACTTTTTTTCTAAAAGGGGATCAACGGTTCCAGTTTGGGGCTACTCCAAGTTGTGCTTCCCCCCCCCCACCTGTAGTACTACCAAAAATAGGATATGTATTTACTGTAAGACGGCCACCAATTCCAGGGATTTTGTAATTGTAGGACTAATTTAGTATATGACTTTCCTTGTAATAAATACACAAGCTCCTCTCCTTATACAATACAATACAATAGACAACATGAAATTAAACTTTGATCTGCTCCTATTAGGTGGTGGTAGGTGATGATTTGCTCTGCTGGGCATTGGCTGCATTACGTATGGGTCTTGGTAGATCTGGAATACCTGGCAGCAAACCTGGGGCATATGCCTCCCAAAGATCATTTTTTATCGCAAGGAAGATATATGTAATATCTATTTACATTTAAAAATCATTACTATAGTAATAGTTACTTTCTGCATTATTTCCATACTAAAATGATTTATTATGTTTTGCAGATTATGTCTACTTTGAAAACTCTTCAAGTAATCCTTTCTTAATACGAAGAATAGAGGAACTTAACAAGGTATGAGCTAAGGTTAATACTTGTCTTCATTTTTTGCATGTGTATGGCTTCTTATGTATTTTAACTTTTTTTTTTTGTGTGTGTGCAGTTTCTTTTGATATGTATGCCACCATTTCTTTGTCTATGTTAAAGTAAAGAACCAAAATCAATCACTAACATCTCATCTAAGCGGTATCCTGTTATTGTAATGTCAAATTATTTAGTCCTGCATCTTTATTGAAAGTCCTTGTTCAGGCACCTGCTTTTATGGGGTGACTGTCTCCCTTTTGTGCCCCTACCACAAGTGGCTGTGTTGATCATGTAAATCCTGAGGTCTGTAAGGTTCACAAATGTCTGACACAGATTAATCCCCTGCTGCAGCCTCTCTCCTTGTGACTTAATGCAAAGTTGCCATGTACAGTCAGGGTGATCACTATGGGAGAAGACTGTGGAGATGCTTCCTTTTGCCTATAGCAGACTGGTGACTTTACTTCTGCCCAGGCCAAATGATCATTACACTTAGGGCTCATTTACACTGAGCGGATTGCAAATCGTGCGTTTGTCATTTTGCGCGATATCGCATTGGACAGAGTGCAATCGCGCGACATCCGCGGCAAAAAAGGGTCCTGCAGTAGCGACGTGCGACAGTGACAAGCACAGCTCCATTGACTTGCATTGGAGAGCGATATCGCGCGGATAATATGAGCGATTCCGCGCGATAAATCGCTTAGTGTGAATGGGGCCTTAGGCTAGGTTCACATCGATTGCACTGTGAGCTGTTATCGCGTGGTTTTGTTTGCGCGATTTTTCTTTGAAAGCCGCACAGTTGTTCATGCATAGAGATGTCTATGGGACCCAAACCGCACGACAACCGGACGAAAATTGCTCCTGCACCTTTTTATGCGACAAAACACAAGGGTGTAAATACCCTCCATTGACTTTGATGTAAATTGATGTTTTGCATGATAAATTGCCTAGGAGTGCATCAGTCCTTATACATTACTTGCCATGCACGCACTCAACATGGAAAAAAAAAAAAGATTCAGTCTAGGCTCACTTTAATGTGCATGTATAAGCCCAAATCCTAAAGGTATATACATTAAATCGTTCCCTTTCTGCATTGTATATGTAGTTTTTATATTGATGTGAGTAGATATTTCATAATGACTGTTGATCCTGCCAGTCTCTGCTCTCTGAGGCCCTTTTTGTCTTTTATAATAGAGTGCCTTTCAGCTCCCCATTCTGCAGGAGAGTGGTCTCCCTGTGCTTTCATCCAATCTGCTGTAGTCGGTGCTCTCGTTGTAGTCGGTCATTGACAGCTGCCATTTAGAAGCTGAGACAGGGACTTCCTTCACATGTAATGACCCACTTGCTGGACAGCTTGGTCTGTTGTAGTTATTTGAAAAGCTAGTATACTTGGCCTGTTATAGCTAGTGGCAGGATCAACATGTAATAAAAGGAAAGAACTAGAGTAGAGAGGGATTAGATCGCATGTCAGGTTTTTCTTGCTGTCTGTGTTTCCATTAGGGAGATTCACCCTCTCTATTTTTCCTGGTGACCATTATCGCTGGCAGTGAAAAAAAAATATTCTAGATTTTGGGTTGTCTTCAGAACAGAAATAGATGAAAAATCTTCCAATGGGGACACTTGTTCAGGTGACACTGCTGACTCCAGGGATCTTCCTCACCTTTTTGGAGGGATTTCCTCTCACTTCCTGTCCAAGAGTTACAACAGGAAGTGAAATCTCCCCAGTGGGACACGGATGGCAAAAAAAGCTGACAGGTTGCACTGAGAAGCACTGATATTTCGGCTGCTGAAACATATCGGACGAAAATTGCACTTTTGGCAAAATGCCGAAGGTACCATCTTTCTGGCCGAAATTGCAGTGCATACGTAGTTTCTCTCCTCCTCACTGGATGCTGCTCTGTCCCTTCTGACACAGCATAGCGTCCTCCAGCGGGGAGGAGAGCACTGTTATTAAAAAAAAAATGAAAAAGGTTAGAAAAAAATAATTTTCTGTTTTTCGGCCTGGGAGTTTTTTTTATTTTCATTCTCGAAATTTCATTTTGGTACACTTCTAGTTATAACCCTCCCTTACTCTATCGAAAACTAAAGTTTTGCTTCAGTTCTACTTGAATGCTTGTGACAGTCTGCATTATATGTCATATTTTTTTTACATTTCATATATTGCCTATCGTTGCACTTTAAATGTTTTGCCTTTTCCTTTTTAAAATCTTCCCAGTGATGTTCAGTGGGTTAAGTTCTGCTGATTGTTGAGAGCCAGATAAGTTGTCACTGTTTACATCTCTGGACTTTAATTAGGCCTGATGCAGTATTGGTGCGTGTTTAGGATTGTTGTCCTGCTACCACACAAATTAAAATATAAGTGATGGTATGCCTGTGGAGAATAAAGAAACCGAATGGTACTTTTCTTTTATGATTGACAGGGCTCGATTTCTCTCTATGCCATGGCCTAGGGTGCCAGGGAGACCTGTAATGGCACATAGCTACTTCTACATGCAGAATAGAAAAGTTTATGGTTTTAAAAGCGCCAACGACAATCCTTACCCCTCCTGGGGAAGAAATCGTAAGCACATATGCAAGGTGCAGCCTCAAAAACAGTCAAGGGTACTGGAACATCTAAAAAACACAAAAGAAGAGGCGCCTTTCCTGGTGCAATATAATTTAATCCAAAAAGACAGGCATAAAGGTGAATTGACAGGTACTCACTATGTAGAAGATAAAAACAAGCCGTTGGACAATATGACCAGAGCAATAAAGAGATCCGGATAGCGTGTCCTGTGTAAAGCACTGCTGTGTCGACGCGTTTCCGGGGCACGTCCCCTTCATCAGGACGTGATGCCAGTCTCCTCCCTGCTGTAGCTTAAGAGTGGGCGGCTCGAACGTGATAGGGTCAAGTAATAGAGGCTGATTGGACGGCGGCTGGGGAGGGATGGTATCAAAGACGGCAGGCAATAACAACCTTGTGTCTGACACCAAACTCGCGGCCAATCAGAGCTGTTAAAAACCGATAGCTATAATGACATAGATCGGATCTACCATGAATACTGGCATATAGTAGCAGTCTGCCCTATGTAAAATCGTATGGAAACGGGGGAACAGGAGACTGGAATCACATATAAAACCACATACTACATATAGACAAATGCATATCATATTTACATATTATAATAAACAGTTTAACATAAAAAGTCCTAATGATGATAAGCATAAAGAATGGAGTGAAGACTCCTTCATATAAAACCATATAGATGATTGTGCCATAAGACAATTTGAATAAATATATGGATAAAAGACATGAATATGAATGTGTAGATAAAAAATGTGTAGATAAAATGGGGGAGCAAGGGCCATGATGTAAGGAAGGTGGAGTGAAGGTTAATTATACACACAATGGATGGGGAGTAGACAATCAAACAAAGGTGGCTAAATAATGCAGTCAGAGAGAGGAGGCTAATTCAAGGCCCTCGTTGAGACCTGAGGGGTGAAGGCTATTAAGGGAATAGATCCAAAAGGTTTCTCTTTGGCAAAGTTTTTTATATCTAAGTCCATCATCGGAATTATCAGGGATCATCTCGATCCCAAACACCTTTAGCCCTTCGGGATTGGATTTGTGAGCCTCCAAAAAATGTTTAGGGACCGAATGATCATCTGCTTTTTTTAAAATTTTTCTTTTGTGCTCTCCAAATCGGGTTCTAAGGGTTCTTATAGTAAGAATGGAGTGAAGACTCCTTCATATAAAACCATATAGATGATTGTGCCATAAGACAATTTGAATAAATATATGGATAAAAGACATGAATATGAATGTGTAGATAAAAAATGTGTAGATAAAATGGGGGAGCAAGGGCCATGATGTAAGGAAGGTGGAGTGAAGGTTGATTATACACACAATGGATGGGGAGTAGACAATCAAACAATAATGCAGTCAGAGAGAGGAGGCTAATTCAAGGCCCTCGTTGAGACCTGAGGGGTGAAGGCTATTAAGGGAATAGATCCAAAAGGTTTCTCTTTGGCAAAGTTTTTTATATCTAAGTCCATCATCGGAATTATCAGGGATCATCTCGATCCCAAACACCTTTAGCTCTTCGGGATTGGATTTGTGAGCCTCCAAAAAATGTTTAGGGACCGAATGAAAAATTTTAAAAAAAGCAGATGATCATTCGGTCCCTAAACATTTTTTGGAGGCTCACAAATCCAATCCCGAAGGGCTAAAGGTGTTTGGGATCGAGATGATCCCTGATAATTCCGATGATGAATGCTCCAGACAAGAAAAAAAAAAAACACAGCTGGCATCTAACGTCTGAGGTTTAGTCTCCTAAATTCCATAAGAGTTTGTCCACCTCAATTTACACTATCTACAATCTCCTGTATGTATCCCTGTCACTATTGTGTACGTTCAAACTCATCTTCTATATATGCTGGAAGAAAAGACCAGGTGAGTTTAACCAGAAAAATAACTAAGGTCCCCCATGCCCTTTTATTAATTTAGTTGCCTTTTTTCTGCATTTTTTTATTTTTTTACAGTTCTACAACTTTAATTTTAGGCACCAGTTCACCAAAAAGATCGTCTTGATGCCAGAATACAAATGTCTAATGCTTTGTACTGTTGAAGTTAGCAAAAATTTTTCCTGTCGCCCTCCAGTCAAAGTATTTAACCTATTTTTTTTTTTGCATTCTGCCACAAAATGGAGTCTAATTGCACTGCTGCCTAGATATATGCTATCAGTCTGATGAGATGTTTACTAATCACTCTGCAACCATTGATTTCTTTAACTTAAACTTGATTTATAGTATTCATAGAACAATTATGTGATTTAGAATATGTTCAAAAAGGTTGTGCCGAACGTTCTATTTAAATGCCCTTAGAGGAGAGATAATGTATAAATGTATGTATTATCTTTACTCCTTGTTAAACAAAACAATATGAAGATTGGAATGAAAAAGTAGTAAAAAAAATAGCACTTGCAACACAAAATGCTGCACTTTTTATTAATACT